AAAAAACATAACTTCTGACACTAAATATATTTTACCATCAGTTCTCTTTAGGTGTAGGAATACTGGTAGGTTGAAGATTTCTTGCCATCGTGGATGGATGGCTTACTTTCGTGAGGTTTTAGCAGGCAAATGAACTACCTTCCATATTGCCATGCATATATTAGCATTACAAGTATTATTATAAAATAAGTTAAAAAAACAGCTTATAAAATATAAATTTACTGAAATAGAAGGAAAAAGAAACCAACAGATTTAAGAATCTGAATCTGAATGTTGGGAGATAATTCTCCATGAGTTTCTCATATTTCTGCTTGCCTCGTAAGAAGAGGCACTTGACTGCTCTGTTCTGGACTATCTTTTAAAAGATGTTCAAATAGAAAACAGACTCAGAAGCTAGAAATAGTATCTTCCTCTGGAGCAAAAGTTAGGCATGTTTGCTTATTTTCCATTAAAAATATTTGGGTTACCTAAGTTTGAGATTCCTCAGCTGTGACACAAACCTGCTGTGCATGTAGCATCCACTTGAGTCCCTCCTTGCCCCCATGGGACTTAGGTAGCAAAGGGGACCAGTGCAAACAGGAGCTCAAGCTATTTGTTGTGCCATGAATAATAAAGTCCTTTGTCTCTGATGGAGGAATCTTGTGTCTTCTGCCAAGACGACACAAGATACATTTAAACTGATTGAGGATACATTTAAATTGATTGAGTTCAGTAGTAACACAAATCCAAATGTCTTCAATAAGAACACGTTATAGTCCTTTAAAAAATGTATATTGTTTTTGAGTGTTTAATTTTCCTTTTTCTTTTCATATTAGTGCTGAATTTCATGAGCGGCTAAGTAAAATTGATAAGCTGAAGAATAGATATGAAATTCTTACTGTTGTTATGCTACCTCCTGAAGGAGAAGAGGAGAAAACACAGGCCTATTATGTAATAAAGGTAATCTTAAATGATTTACAGTTGGGGTATGAAGTATCCTTTCTCTGTTAACTCTTTCATAGTAATCCTCTGGTTGCTCTGTTTCCCAAAACCTACTGCTAACTTGCTTCAAAACTCTCCTCTTTTGAGTTCAGTTCGGTTCATTCTACTTGACCATTCTTTGAGACTTGATTTTTGCTATCATTTGTGTCATGTCATTTCCCCTCATTAAGATACACAATATCGGGCCGGCCCTGTGGCGCACTCGGGAGAGTGTGGCGCTTGGGAGCGCAGTGGCGCTCCCGCCACGGGTTCGGATCCTATATAGGTATGGCCGGTGCGCTCACTGGCTGAGCACGGTGCGGGCGACACCAAGCCAAGGGTTGTGAACTCCTTACTGGTCACGAAAAAGACAAAAAATAAAAATAAAAAAAAGATACACAATATCATTCTGCATGCCTTCAACATGCATGTGACAACCTGTTCAAAACCTCAGGCTCAAAGCTTTCATTCATTATAGCCACCCACTCCCATGCCACATCCTGGACATTATCCCCTGGTGCTATACCACCTCTGAATCTTAAATTCCAGTTTACCATTGCAGGCCTGGTATGGCAGCTATGTAGAGAGGAAGAGGGCTGTTTCCCTATCCTTATGTTACATGGGAGACAGACAGATCAGGTGCATCTACTTTCTTTCTGATGTTTGAGAATTCTGTCATCTCATGGTTATCTTTACCCTAGGAACCCATAAGAGGAAACTCAGAAGTGATCAGGAATTGGTCACTTTCTGAGTGCTGCTCTATTTATCTTTCCCATGTAGAAAATACCCCCAATAGGTATGATTTTCTTTACAGAAAGGTCTGGGAAATTACTCAAAACACTCTTTTCCCTGTACCATACATGGATAGGGGTGGGACGATCTCCCAGTTCACATCCTCAGAGGACGGCCCTTGTGGATGCTCTTTCCCTAACTTCTATCTACTTAATCTCCCAAGTTTTCTCCTGTAGCCCTCTTCAAGTCTGCCCCTAACACATACACTAAGTTGAATGCCTACCATTTTGCTTCTGGACATTCTAACCTATAAGAAATCAGTCCCAGCTCACAAAGCTTTCTTGTAACTTGTTAGTCTATATCTCAGGCTTCTGACCAATACAATGGGACTTTCCTTCTCCCAGGTTTTAAATGTTCCCAAAGGGTGAAGGGTAGGCTCTAGTTTGTTAGGTGTTGGGAAGCAGGTAGATACTGCAATTTCAACTAAGTTTCTCTACCAACAAGGGCTGTGATGTGTTACTTAAAAGTACTGGTGTTAAAAAGTGCCTTATTCCACTTTTATCATGGTTTTACCACTGACTAGGTAGGTAACCTTGAATAAGTTATTTAACCAAGTTGGGCATCAAGTTTGCTGACCTGCAAAATGAGGATGCTAGTACTGTCTTTTGTTGAGAGAAGTAAATGAGAAAATATGTTAATTACTTAGAACAGTACCACCACAAAATGAGCCCTCAGTAAATGTCAGCTATCATTATTGTTATTGCTGTGATGGTGCTGATTAACCTACTTCTCAGGAAAGCAGACAAGTTTTATGTGAGGAAAGAGTATTCCTTCTGTTTACAGTGGTGGTAGTTTCTTAGGGCTGCTGTAACAAAGTATCCCTTATCTGAAATGTTTGGGACCAGAAGTGTTTTGGATTTTGGGGTTTTTCAGATTTTAGAATATTTGCAGAATACATACTGGTTGAACATCTCTAATCCAAAATCTGAAATGCTCCAATGAGCATTTCCTTTGAGCATAATGTCAGTGCTCAAAGCATTTCAGATTTTGAAGCTTTTCAGAGTAGAGATGTTCAACCTGTACCACAACTATATGGTTTAAATAACAGAAATTTACTGTCATACTTTTGGAGTCTAGCAGTCCAAGATGAAGATGTTAGCAGGGTTGGTTCCCTCTGAGGGCTGAGGGAGAATCTGTTCTATACCTCTTTTCTTTCTGGTGGTTTGCTGGCAGTGTTTGGCATTCCTTGGCTTGAGATGAATCTCTCCAAAATCTGCCCCTCATGTGGTGTCCTTCCTTTGCCTCTTCACATAGTTTTCCCTCTGTGCATGTCTGTGTCCAAATTTCCCATTTTTATAAGGATACCACCAGTCATATTGGATTAGGGCCCACTCTAATGACCTCATCTTAACTTGACTATATTTGCAAAGCCTCTATTTCCAAATAAAGTCATTCTGAGGTACTGGGAATTGGGACTTCAACATCTTTTTTTCAGGGACACAGTTTAACCCATAGCTCCCGTTTTTGGTTCTGTAGTAGCCTTTGGTCTATAGGGCACACATGGTTTTGTTCTTCCTTTTATTAATCCTAGTATTATAGCATCTGACTCTTAAGAGCCAGACTGAAAAACAGAATCAGTGACCAGTGAAGAACTGGCATTTTTCTTTTTCTTTTTCTTTTTTTTTTTGTCTTTTGTCTTTTTTCCGTGTCCGGCAACGGATCGCAACCCTCAGTGTTGCCCCCGTACCGGACCGGGGACCGGCAACGGGATTGCAACCCTCGGCGTTGCTCCCGCGCCTCGCTCAGCCAGCGAGCAGGAACCGGTCTGTATGTGGGATCCGAACCCTCGGGCGGGAGCGCTGCCATGCTTCCCAAGCGGTGCACTGTCCAGTGCGCCACCGGGCCGGCCCAAGAACTGGCATTTTTCAAATCTCATTTCCAACTTACTCTTGGTCTTTATGAGGAGACAGTCTAGTTCTGACCACAATTTAATGAAATTGTCCAATTAAGTTACTTGAAAATGCTTTAAAATGCTGGTCAGAAAATTATCAAAATTTCTTCCAAATACCAGCTTTTCCAATTCAAAATAAAAGGTATACATTTTATCATCTCTGATTTAGAAGCAAATGGAATTAGAATTTTAGAACTTCAAACTATACATGGAATTAGACTGGGAATTTGTATAGGATGAACAAATTCAACACCTTCATTTGGAAAATGAAGAAACCGAGCTCAGAGAAAGGAAGTGAATTATTTAATGTCACTCAACTCACTGGTAGTCAATCCACAAATAAAATCTGTTTTGATTCATTCCAGTTCTTTCTCCCAATACACTATTATATTTTAAATGTTTGTTCATTCTAGACTCAACTTAAAGGAATTAGATATAATTTATCTAATAGCTTTTAATCTGTTTTTTTTGTTATAACTTTAAAAAATTGACAAATAGTGAAAATGTTAACTGAAACATTACTAGTAAAACTTATCTTTCTTATTCTGGTTTAAAAATTCCTATCTAGTGATTAAATGAATTAAAAGGTACAACTATTAGTTGATTTTGACTAAAAATGGGTTTTCTGGTACTTTTTAATATAAATGCATGCCATCTCTGTTAACTTGAGTTCTTTGGAATTTTCTGGGTGTAACTCTAGAGAGGTTAGCCCAGTAACAGTGTTACCTTGGTAAAAAGTCACTGAGTATGTCCACTCATGGAGGAAATTTTGGTCTTTAGCAATTCATCAACTTCATCTTTTCTAGCACTATGATCTTTCTCATATTTTTTTAAAATTATTTTTTAAATTGTGGTAAATATACACATGAAAATATTATTTTCCTGGACATACCTTGTTCACTTTTTTTACTGCTAAGATTTGAAATGAGAAAGTTTTCCTGAACCTCTTTGAGGCCAGAAACATTCTTCTGATTAAATACCTAGTTTTAAACCTCCCTGTAGTTAACCAGTAAAAGTTATACCCGATTAACTTTTTTTGGCATTTTTGCTGGAGAGTTTTATATAAGCTTTGGTAAGTCACATTTTCATCACAGTTTTCCATCTTTTGTGCCATATTTTGAAGGCCTGAGGATTTGGTCTTCCACTCTAAATCAAGTGCAGGAAGTAAATGCTTGGTGCCATGTTTAGGCCCCAAGGTAAACTATTTTCTGCTCCAAAGACAGACTCCCCCCACCCCATGATAATACCTTTATTTGATATAGTTCTGTTCTGTACTTTATAGGCTGCTCAAGAAAAAGAAGAACTTCAAAGGGAAGGTGACAGTTTGGATGCTAAAATCAACAAAGCTGAAAAAGAAATCTATGCTCTAGAAAATACTTTGCAAGTACTGAACAGCTGCAACTACAATTACAAACAATCTTTTAAAAAAGTGACTCCATCTAGTATGTAGGAATTATTAAATGTTTTTTATAAATATATACAATGAAAGCTGTATAGCTATTTAATTTAAAAAGAGGAACTCTCTGAGAAATGGAAAACAAAAATGCACCATATTTGATTGGGTCAGAAAAACTAATCACATTCCATCCCTTCTTGTAAGTGGTCTGCTAAGATGTTATTTACATTATTAGTTTTACTGGTCTATGGCATATCATTTCTCTAGGGAATTAATTTCAATTCTGAAAATTGCAGCTTAATGCTGACTATGTTAACAAGAAATGCCGATACTATTTTTGTACAAGTAGATAGGAATAATTTAAACTTTCATAACAAAACATGATAGAAGTTTAATATATGTAGTAATTTAAGATTGCTTTTTATTTAGTATGTTGAAAATCTAAACTAAAAATTCTCTAAATTATAGGTGATGAGTATGAGCTAAAAATTCAACTAGAAGAACAAAAAAGAGCTATTGATGAAAAATACAGATATAAACAAAGACAAATGAGAGAACTTCAAGAAGATATCCAGGTAAATTCTACAGTCTCCTTAGTAATAAACCCTCAAAAAAAGTCAATTATCATTACTACAACTATTCTCCTGATCTTGCACAAAGAAGACAGTTATTTAGAGCTTCTTTTAGGGAAGTAGATAGTAAGAGGTAATAGTCTCATTTAAAGGAAAAAAAAAAGTGATCAAAGTATTAAGGAAATTAGTTAAAATTCCAGTGCTAGGCACTGACAATTACTTGTTGTTAGCTGATAGATCATAGCTAGCTAATTATGATCTATCCACTAACCCTTAGTTAATAAACTCTTATTTACTTCCTTAATGATCACGTTAAGACTTCTCCTTAAAAAAAGTTTGAAAAGTAAAAATAACATAGTAGAAAGTAGTAACTAAATCAAATCATTGAAAGACAAAAGAATGTGCTTGGTAAGTAGGATAAGACTTCTCCTTAAAAAATGTTTGAAAAGTAAAAATAACGTAGTAGAAAGTAGTAACTAAATCAAATCATTGAAAGACAAAAGAATGTGCTTGGTAAGTAGGACCTATATAAAAATTGTTTTTTACTAATAAAGCTGAAGAAACACATGCTATGAATTATGAATACTTGAAACTTATACAATTTCAATAGCCATTGTTTACATTATTTTTTCCCAAGTACTACCAGAAAAATACTATCCAGTGGAATTGTATATAAAACTTCATCCATAAGACCATCATACTTATTAGACAATGGAATGAATGTATATTAAATACAAAAATAAGTGAACTAAAAATAAATGCTTTGACAAATGGCAAGTATATAAAAATACTTGCCATTTTGGGTTTTGATTCTAACCAAAAAGTATGTTAACACTTTATTTTCTGCAGAGCATGGAAAATACTTTAGAAGTTATGGAACATTTAGCAAATAATGTCAAAGAAAAATTATCAGAGAAGCAAGCTTATTCATTTCAATTAAGTAAAGAAACTGAGGAGCAGAAGCCAAAATTAGAAAGAGTAACTAAACAGGTATTGATACCTTTTAAAAACTGACCTGTCATCTTTTCCTTTTTTTAAGTACCAAATGGTAAACCCAAATCCTCCTTCATCCATTAAAAAATATTAACTTCTAGAAAATATGTTTATTTAATAATCGACTATTATTTACCAACAGTGTGCAAAAGTCACAAAAGAAATCCGTCTTTTGAAAGACACAGAAGAGGAAACACTAGAAGAACAAGACATCAAACTTCGTGAAGTGAAACAGTTTCACAAAATCATTGATGAAATGTTGGCTGATGTCACAGAAAATGCTGAGATCCATATTATCCTTCAAACATACTTTCAACAAGTAATACTGTACTTTCTATTAAGTATATGTCTTAAACACTTAATGAAAATAAAAAAATTTATGGCATTCATAAGTGAAATCTAATTTTTTTTTTCTAAAATGCAGTAATACTAATGATTGTTATTGAATATTCCTCCAGAATGGGTTAGAACTACCTACAGCTGGTACTAAAGGCAGTCGTCGGAGTTCTAGATCACCTTCACAGACTTCACTGTTATCAGCAAGGTAAGTGCAAAGTTAACAAAATAATCTCCTTAACTCTCAAAGCTGCTATCCTAAGTGAACCCAGCCACTTCCACATCCCCACAGCTATTGGACTGGCCACTAGCTAGCTGGCACTGCTAGCTCTCCTTATCCTCAGCTACCTGTCAGCATCACATATATCAGATGTACAAACAGCCATCAGTGCAAGACTTTCCTTCTGATTTCTGCTGTCGTCATCATTTCTATTATGGCACAAGTGCTTTGTGATTACCAGCTCTTTCAGTAGAATAAAGCAGTGTAAAATTGGGGGGTTACATCTAGCATTCGGAGGTGAACCCCAAGTTGGGTGAAAATTTATAAATCACAAAAGGGCAACTTAGGTGTGCAGACAGATGGAGTATTTTTATTATTCAAACCACATTGTAAAATTTTATGTAATCAGGATTTGATTTATTTATGATGCTTTATTTTGCTAAAAAGGAAACTATTTTTTTCCTTCGTTTATTATTATCCTGAATTGTCATCAGGGAGGCTTAATCAACACTCTGTGCTTTCCTGACAAAATAATATGATGATCCTGACTTTTGAATTCCCAATCTTCTATATTCAGCACCTACTTACTACTTTTCCTCAGTACGTGCAGAGATTTCACAAAGAAAAAGGGAGGTCCTGAAAGAGTGTTTCATTTTTTATATATTAAAAGCCATTTTTACATGAGTATAGTAAGTACTACTTGAACATCCCTGTATTATAAAATATATTTTAAAACTTACTATTTCAGAATTAGATGCCTAATTGTGCTTTCTTTTTTGGCGGCTGGCCAGTATGGGGATCTGAACCCTTGACCTTGGTGTTGTAACACCACACTCTAACCAACTCAGTAACCGGCAGCCCTGTGGCTAGTTGTTTTTCAAGTGACCCCACCACTTTATCCCTGTCAATACACATCTCTTTCCTCTTCACCTTAAGTTACAAAAAATATCATTTTAATTACTCTTGCCAGCTGAAATTATCTTGCAAAACTTTAATGCTTAATGATTCCAGTTTTTAGAAATTGATTATAATTGAAAACATTTTTCTCCTACAGGAACATGTTTATTAAGCTATTTTTCTACTGGTTTGGAACTCTATGTTCATCTTTTCCTTTTTTAAATTAGTTTTTTTATACCTACTAATGGCCATACTTTTAAAACTTATTACTAACATTGTTAGTAATGCCTACTTTTTGATCTCTTTAATTACTTATGGAATTATGGCGTCTCTTTCCAATGAGATGGTCTATACTAAAATATAAATTCTGCATTAAATTTACAATAATTCTGGTTTTTCTTCCAGGTCATCTAGGAGCACCACAAGTACTTCTGCTTCTCAGACTTCGATTAAAGTGTTAGAGCTCAATTTCCCAGACTCTTCTTCTAGGCCAAGTAGTGCTAGTAGTAGCTCTAGTAATAATAGTAAAAGCAAAAAGAGCAACAAATAAGCATCTTAATCTCTTTTGAACAAGTTGTAAACACAAAAACAAAAACCTCATACTTTAGTAAATCCCATTTTATGCATTTGGGTGCCATACAATGATCATATAGAGAGGCCTGCTGAAGTAGTATTAGAAATATGAATGACCAGACAAGTTTTATCCAGTGGGAAATGCAAAAGTAAAGTAATTTTCTTAGTTTTCCTACTTCTTTCTTCATACAGAAGGAAAACAATAGCAGATTCTTAACAAGGCTACATGTTATACAAGCATAGGGAAAATGGTGTGTTTCCCCGTAATTTTGATGTTTGCAGTGTTAGTTTCCTTCATTGTTTCATGAAACTACACTCACATATAACAATCTTTCAGGAAGAAATTTCTAAGATTCATCATACTGTTAAGAGCTAATAACAGTATGAAAATTCTTATTTACTCCAGAAGATCCCAAAAGTAGGTTTTCTTTATTCAAAGAAACATTTCCCAGACTTTTGAGGATAAAAATCTGTTAAAGGCAACTTCTCTTTTGGTATAATTTTTAACAAATGACATCACCCCAAAGAAAGCAATAGGTGAAATGTTGTGTATCAATAAAAAAACGCAGCTTAAGTGTCTAAGAAGTAGAACAAAATCTAAAAATTTCTAAGAATCACCCCACTCTGACCTTGAAAGAAATCAAAACACATTAGAGATTCTGCTCTCAAGATACAGCCAATCGAGCATAAAGAATAAGAATATATTTTTGAAGTTTTCTTTAGTAAACAATTTGAAGAAAGCTAGATATAATTTGATTTGCAATAGGAATTCCATTATAAGTGGAGGTTTATTACCACATGTGCCCAATACTTTGGAATTGAGGGTAGAATACTGTTATAAAACTGGATTTCAAATAAATATATTAGAATCCATGCATGTAAATGAGCGTCTCCTTCAAACCTTGGGAAAAAGTTCTTATTATAATTGCCATTGTTTTAGAACTGTCATTTGCAGTTTCTTCTGAAAAGCAGTAGTGGTAGTAACTGTTTCTCCTGATTATTTTTTGTTTTAGAAATAGCCAGGAAAAGTCCTAGCAAAGTCCAATGAATAAGATAGGTAAAAAAAACGATACTACAATTTTTGACTGACATTGCTCCACGCATGAAGATTTATTTTATATCTTAAAAAAACTGATTAAAGTCACTTTGTTCACCAGTTCTTATTCCACTCCTATATTAGTTTATAAATTACTTGAGACTGAAAATATTAAGCACTATATTCTGTCAAGGCAAGAGTATATCTTAGCAGTTCTATGACCTTGGGCAATTACCTCTCTATGCTTTTTTTCATTTGTAATATACAGTAAGTTATCTACATCACAAGTGAGTAACTGGATAATATAGAAACAAAATGCATGAGGCTTGACACACAGTAATTGCACTGTAAGTTCTACCTATCACTGAATTATGCCCCAGAGCCTAGCAGTTTTTGTGGAATGGTTAGGTTCTTAGGACAGCATAAAAGTCTGCATTTAACTGTTAAATAACAGTTCTAACTTCAGTGTAATATACCAAATGTAATACCAGTGTAATATCCCAAAGATAGGGGATCAACACCTCTGTTTCCAAGTCTAGAGAGTTTTCTTAACCTCCAAAAGTCATGCTTCATTTACTTATGGAAACCAAGATACAGCTTGCCTGGGTATGTACAAACTAGACATACTGATGTTGAAAAAACTGAAGATGTCACTAGGGATACTTAACAATGTAAATCCTCAATAATTTTTGCTGTGATGGGCTTCCTGAACACATCCTTAGGAACTGGTTTGTGTACTCTGCTTAAGTTTAGTACATCCCAGGAAAGAGGCCCTGGGAAAGATAGAATTTCTAAATTCAGGCAGCATGCAGGGTAAGGTACTGTCCTAACAAATAAAATGGTGTGCATAAAACTGAAAGCTGTACTAGAGTTTCCAGAAGGTCAAGGGCTATGTCAAAAGGTAGTTTTCACTCTTTAAGAGCACTACTGTGTATGATTATGTGGGGATACTGGAGCATTAAAACACAGAATGGAGTACTTTTTTTTTTTTTTTTTTGTCTTTTGTCTTTTTCCGTGTCCGGCAATGGATCGCAACCCTCAGTGTTGCCCCCGCACCAGACTGGGGACCGGCAACGGAATCGCAACCCTCGGCGTTGCTCCCGCGCCTCGCTCAGCCAGTGAGCGGGAACCGGTCTGTATGTGGGATCCGAACCCTCGGGCGGGAGCGCCGCCGTGCTTCCCAAGCGGCGCACTTATCCAGTGCGCCACTGGGCCGGCCCCAGAATGGAGTACTTTTTAAAGATGAGTTTCTTGGTGCAAAGACCAATGTTTCAGTGACTGGCCTATTTCTATTGCTGTTGCCTGTTGCTCTTGACTAGGGTTTCTTTTCCCTGTTCCACTGCAAAACAAATTTCAGATTTTCCACTGGGGTCTCATCACTGGAGTTTGAAGGACACAAATAGTACACACCCAGTACTTAACATTTTGGTGTTTTACTGTTGGCAAGAACTGCAAGATAGAACAGGGAATACAAGTCTCTTTTTCCTTTATCATTTTTTCTCTTAGACCTTTGTAGATGGATACCCACTTACCCAAACACCTATACCCATCATGAGTAACAGTATTAGAAGCCAACTGTCATCTAGTTTCTAGAATCTTGAATTGGAAAGATTCTAAAGATGTCATAAACCCAACACCTGTGACTCCTATCTTTCTCCCCCAAACAGTATATTATACTGTTCTCAGTAATTCTGGGAGGATCTTAACAATCCAAGTCTCTTCCTTCTTCAGCTCTTGCTGCGGAATTTATTCTGAGTAAAACCAGGCTGTAATTGCTCTAGTAATTTACTCAGACCCCGAGAAAGGAGGCACCAGGGAAGCATCAGGGAAAGGAGGAGTGTAGGAAGTAGAAATGCAGCCCAGCCCCCGGCCATTTAGAAACACTCCTACTGCCTTCCTGACTGAACATCTGCAATACTAGCAGTCTCCTAATTTTCTTTCCCTTAAGAAAAACGATTTATAGCATGCTTCTCTGCCACTGCTGTTTTTGCTAAAAGGATTCTTTTCTATTCTGATCTACTCTTGCCTGGAATATAGTCTCTAAGTGTCTTGCCAGTATTTAAAGTTAAAAAGTTTCTTATGGATACAATGCTAATATTGCAGCCCCCTGTGTGGTTGAGTTATCTCCCACACCAGGGTGCGAGCCCCCCAGGGGAGGATCCTACAGCACACAGTTCCTCTTTGAATCCCCCCGGTGTGAGCCAGCTCGGTGTCCTCAGGCCAGCTCTCCAGCAGGATCAAGCAGGCTCGGGGGCACCCCGGTCACCCCTCTCCCAACCAGAAATCAGTCTGGGGTTTTTCCAAACTGAAGGCCACAGAGATGGTATCTGCCTCCCGGAAGCAGCAGGGTGTGGTGGAGAGACGATCTGGGCGGGATCCTGTTCCCTGCCCTCCCGACGCTGGCCGGTGGCTCCCCACGCCACCAGCCCCACCAGAGATCTGCGAATGGAGTACTTTTTAAAGATGAGTTTCTTGGTGCAAAGACCAATGTTTCAGTGACTGGCCTATTTCTATTGCTGTTGCCTGTTGCTCTTGACTAGGGTTTCTTTTCCCTGTTCCACTGCAAAACAAATTTCAGATTTTCCACTGGGGTCTCATCACTGGAGTTTGAAGGACACAAATAGTACACACCCAGTACTTAACATTTTGGTGTTTTACTGTTGGCAAGAACTGCAAGATAGAACAGGGAATACAAGTCTCTTTTTCCTTTATCATTTTTTCTCTTAGACCTTTGTAGATGGATACCCACTTACCCAAACACCTATACCCATCATGAGTAACAGTATTAGAAGCCAACTGTCATCTAGTTTCTAGAATCTTGAATTGGAAAGATTCTAAAGATGTCATAAACCCAACACCTGTGACTCCTATCTTTCTCCCCCAAACAGTATATTATACTGTTCTCAGTAATTCTGGGAGGATCTTAACAATCCAAGTCTCTTCCTTCTTCAGCTCTTGCTGCGGAATTTATTCTGAGTAAAACCAGGCTGTAATTGCTCTAGTAATTTACTCAGACCCCGAGAAAGGAGGCACCAGGGAAGCATCAGGGAAAGGAGGAGTGTAGGAAGTAGAAATGCAGCCCAGCCCCCGGCCATTTAGAAACACTCCTACTGCCTTCCTGACTGAACATCTGCAATACTAGCAGTCTCCTAATTTTCTTTCCCTTAAGAAAAACGATTTATAGCATGCTTCTCTGCCACTGCTGTTTTTGCTAAAAGGATTCTTTTCTATTCTGATCTACTCTTGCCTGGAATATAGTCTCTAAGTGTCTTGCCAGTATTTAAAGTTAAAAAGTTTCTTATGGATACAATGCTAGCAATAAGAAAAATAATAATAGAGAAATAAGCAAAATGGCCTCCTATTCAACTTTCATGGTTTATTCCTAAATCACTTATTAAGCTGGGTAGAAGCCAATGCTGTTTACAAATCATTTTAATTAAATCAGGCTTCAGAGGCAAATTAACACCATCTGTCTACAATTTTAAAATAAAACCGTGCAAAAAATTTAATATTTAAACGATGGATATAAAATAGTACTCAAGAAATATTTGAACATATAATCTCTTTCAAAAGCTGAGAACTTTTAACAACAGAGGATGAAATAATTCTTGATGAAAACCATGTTCAATGAAGAAATTTAATTTTCTCTCAAACAGCAGGATCAGGTGGACCCAGGAATTCTCATACACCATAATACAACAAACAAATGATCATTTCAGAGAGTTATCTTTAGATGAAAAAATTAAATTGTCAGAGTAAAAAATATACTGTACATAAACATATACATGAAAAGCCTAAAAAAGTCAAGCTGTGACAAAAGGACCTACAATTCAAACAAAATTTGAGAAACAAATGATCATTTCAGAGAGTTATCTTTAGATGAAAAAATTAAATTGTCAGAGTAAAAAATATACTGTACATAAACATATACACGAAAAGCCTAAAAAAGTCAAGCTGTGACAAAAGGACCTACAATTCAAACAAAATTTGAGAAAAGCTAAAAAGCATTTGCTTTCTATAATCTCTAAAAGTAATTTTAGGAGCAGAGATTTCTGTATTGGATGGACTGTTATGACTGAAACACCTCAAAACTTTTATTAACAGTGTTTAGTGTAATGGTGCTGATTTCCTTGGCATATTATTTTTTTGGCTTACTTCCTTTTTCTTTCTCAAATTCAGCTATTTGATTAAATATATTGAGTAAATTTTGAGGTAAATTTTTTTTAACTCTGCTTTCTGATTGTTCTTTGCTATTTAGTCCATCTTCTTCTGGAACCTCTTTTTTGATATCCTCCCCATAACTGTCCTCTCTTTCATATTCTCGATTTGTGTTTAATCGGTATCTTTGCTCATGCTCATGACTACTGAAATCACGTGATTCAGAGTAAGTACACTTTTTGTATTTTTCAGTTGATTTCCAAGAGTAGTCTGAGCTTGCTGGTGAAGTGGAATACCTCACAGAACCTGGCTCCCACCTTCTGTAGTGCTCTTTTCTTTCCTCTGTATCTTTTTCAAATCTCCTATAACCATAAATTTTTATTTTGTCCTCTGAATTCCTACAGAAGGAATCTGAGGAATTTCTTCTACTGGAAAAATGTCTTTCTGATTTATATGGCTTTTCCGTTTTGCTACTACCAGCCTGGGTTTTACTGCTATTATAAAAATCTCTTGGCTCTTCAGACCTACCTCCAAAATCATCCGTTATTTCAACTGAAGATGAAGAGAGAGGGCATCTATCTTTCTCTTTTACCTGTGTCTTTTGATACTGTAACCTATCCTGCTTTTCCAGTAGTTTTTCCACTTCTTGTTTTTGGTTAAGAAAAGATGCTGAAGTGTT